CCATGAAATTGGATGGGTATGGGGGAGGGGAATACAAAGAAGCTGCCTATTTGATTGGTTAAGCTTTTGGTCAATGTGGTTGCTTGTTTATTGGTTAAGAAAATTTACCAAATGCTACAGTTTTAAACGCAGACATGGCTGACACTGTCCTTAGGCTCATTAGAAGGAGATGTATAGCTATTGAAAGAGCCTTTCATCAAGGATCTGCAGGTCCAAGAGAAGTTCACACTCTCAATATTTCAATCGCTAATTTAAGAAGAGTTGAGGATGCCATTAGCGTCGACACTTTGAGGAATTTAATCCAAAGTCTCACAGATCTCAAATCTGTAATCGCTGCACCCGCAGCTACAGTTGCTGGTTTCCAAGCAGGCCGTATGCATTCTGGTAAGTTTGGTAAATTATTGTGTTTTTTGTCGGTTTTGTGTGTTTGATTACTTATCAGATTTGATATTCAAGACTAATTCAGGGACGCATTAGGTAACCAAATTGAAACAGTGTGATGGGTTACTATAAAGACTTAGAATTGACTGTGTTACTTCAGAAACAATGAAACTACTTTGCACCAGTCATTATTTGGTCATTTTTTGTAACTGCAATTAGGCTTTGTAACATGAAAATCTATGTAGGTCTTCTTCCCAGCCATCCAGTTTCAACACATACTCTGATTTCAGTGAGCTACCCACATTGGTCCAATAACTTAAATGACTAATTTTGGGCATACATACTGTATGTTTAGGAAGACAACTAATTTGGCATACTGAAAATATGCACGAAAAAAGTGGTATGGCAAAAAAACTGTTTTCTTTTTTACTACTGTGCTGCATGAAATCACCGGAATATTTGGATTGCTATATTACTGAATTATTTTATTTAAATATTTTTAGGGAGACGAGGGAGACCTGCGCTTGACATTACAAGGGAGCAAATTCAGCTGCTCCTTACTCAAGGTTTCACAGTCAGAGCCATGGCAAGGATGCTCGGCTGTTCCTCTTCCTACCTTCATAAGAAAATGAAATCTTTTCAGATTTCAGCAAGAAAGAGATTTACTTCCATTAGCGAAATTCACCTAGAGGAGCACATCAGGAGACTCCATAATCAGTTTCCAAGATCAGGCTCAGAAGTAAGCATACTGCAACATATTCTTGTGTATCCTTTTACAAAAATGAACTTTATCGTAACAGCTTTCAATTTTGAACTAATTTCAGATGATGCGGGCATACCTGCGTGCAGAAGGGATTGTAGTGCAAAGAAGAAGAGTTCGAGAGACCCTTAACCGCATTGATCCAGCCGCTGCAGCCCAGAGATGGAGTCAGACTGTGGCAAGGAGAACGTACCATGTGCCATTTCCAAATAGTTTGTGGCACATAGATGGCCATATGCGTCTCATTCGGTAATTGCACATCTTTATTGCTGGGAGTATTATTGAGTCATATTAGATGGGTTTAGTTGATTTGTTTTCATTGTCTTTGTTACCGCCTAGATTTTTTTAGTATGGTATGACCTCTCCCCAATCCATCTTAATCTACATTTCATTATCATCTTCTTTCTCTTTTCTATCTCAATCTTTTTGATCAACAATATTAAAATTAATGAATTTTGTGGTTTAAATGTGATAGAATGATCTGTAAGGGTTTATGTGTAAAGAAGTAATCAATTGTTCATTTTTATTTTATATGTTTTACAGGTGGGGGTTTGTGACGCATGCTGGTATTGATGGGAACTCCAGATTAATAACTTACATCAACTGCAGTACAAACAACACAGCTTTGACAGTGTTAACTAATTTTGTTCGAGCCACCTGTCTTTATGGGTTACCCTCCAGAGTCAGATCGGACCGCGGAGGGGAGAACACTCTGGTTGCTCTTTTGATGAACCTTCTGCAGGGACAAGGACATGCAGGTCACATTGCCGGTCAGTCTGTACACAACCAACGTATTGAACGTCTTTGGAGAGATGTTTTTCAGCAGGTTGTGCACTACTTCTACACACTTTTCTATTCTTTCGAAGATGAACAAATCCTGAACCCTGAAGATAACTTTCAGAAAATGGCTCTACAAGTAGTTTACAAGCCCGAAATCCAAAAACGTCTAGATTTATTTAGACAAGCATGGAACAACCATAAAATTAGAACGGCTAATAACCGTACACCAACACAAATATGGATGGAGGGCATGCTGGCCAACATTGAGCAGGAGTCAACAGCTCTTAACAATGTTTTTGGAGTTGACCCTTACATTGAAGAAAATCTTGAGGCTTGCTTGGCAAGACATGGCATACAGCTAACCCAGTTACAAGCAAACAGAGAAGACTTGGAACAAGCAGTGATTGTGCAACAACCACTCAACATAAGCTCTGATCAACACCAGGCTCTTCAAAATGCAATTGCTGGAATAACACACTTAAAGGACAGGTATCTTGTGTGTGCAAGAGAGCTTCAAAACATTATTCTCAGAACACAATGAACTTGCTAATTATTGTTTTGAAAAGACAATAAAATGATGGAGGCAGAAACTTTATCCAAAAAAAAAAAAGACTTGTGCAGAAGCAATGCAACTCAGTCATTACGTATTGCCTCTATACAGTAAATGTGTGGTGGTGACTTGGTCTGTAGACAGCCTGTCCTTTGTCTGGATTTTGATGTTTTACTTGACTTGGGACATTTCTGCGTGGGGAGCTGATGTGTTTTCACCAGCCAATGGGGATGGAGATGATATATATATTTCCATGAATGCCATGTTTCTGTGAGATCAAGCATAATTTATGCGATGAACAACCTAGAACAAAGCAGTAAGAAATGATAACATTTAGCCTCTGATCCTGAGCTTTACATCACAAAAACAAGGCTGTCATGCAAATACAGTTTATCATTGGCTCATTAGTCAATAATAAAATGGTCATAAGTAGCAGGCTTTACAAGCACCAATGTAGATTTTACATAAACAAGAACACAGACTTTAGAACTTGTTAGGGGGGACTAGCCATATTTTAACATTGTTTTTTTTTAGTTAAGATGGTGCAAACTGACTGAAAGTATCAGCTAATCCTGCCAGGATTCTGCTACTCTGAGCTTAAATTGGTAAGGACTAAACCTTTCCAAATCCCAAAGAGTCTTTAGTGGCCTGAAAAAGCATCCGATGTAATTCGTCCTCCTGCGTGATTCCTCTAGGAAGGAACAAGCACATCATGCAAGTCGAGGCGTAGGGCAAACGTCGCTGGCCTGACTCCTGTTCAAAGAAGTCAATGCAGGGCTTATTTGGAAACCCAAGGGCAGGGACTTCATCTGCACCAGTGATGAATATCAGAAGGTCTTCGAATCTGAGTTCAGTCAATTTGTCTGCCAGGGAAAATAAATAAATAAAATAAATGACCATTCATGTCTACATCAATTGTCTAACGTGAAAAAATGAGGACTGTATATATTCCATGTATATGTATAGTTTGTAAACATGACTCTCTGGACCACATTTTTCTATACTGAAATTACATCCCACAATTACACTTTCATTATTTGACCTGTGTCACAGTACATTTTAAATGGACTTTGTAGGCGTTAATTAAATTTTATAGTGTTCTTAAAGGAATAAAATGTACCTTCAATCATGTTCAGAACCAGCTCCCAGCAGTAGATGGTGTCCTCCTCTTCCTCACGTCGGTTGGTTCCTCTACTGCTGTAACTGTAAGTGAAGATGGCCTTGAATGCTGCCTTTGACAAAGGCTCCTGCATGTTGGTGAACAATGGTAGGAAGGCAATCCAGTTCTCCTTTACCAGGTCCCACAGCTTCCCAAAAGCGTTCATTCCCTCTGTGAACTGGTGTACCATTCTGGCCGTTCTATAAACCAACAGAGACAGAACATGAATAAAACCATTCAGAAGTTTAGAATCACAGATATTTTTTTAAATGCGCTTATTTTTTGGGAAGGGACTGAAAACTGGATCAAAAATAAAAATGTTTCAAAATACTATTCAAGTATGAAATGACAATTTCTTAAATGTATCTTTACAGTAGCTTTTTGGTTTTAGCAGCCATGACCAGGACAGAAAGAACAGAGGCAACCCATTACAGTAAAACACCTGTACAACACTACAGCTGGTAGTATTTCTTTCTGTCCTGGTAATTTGTGACACTACCATCAATATTTTATATAAATGTGTTGCTAGATTGATGATTTACGGTAGCTTTTTGTCCTGTTAATCCAAACATTTAAATGTTGAAATGTCAATTTTCGTAGGAGATGGATTAAAGGTTTACTTACTTTTACATTTGTTAAAAAAAAACAATTTAACATTGGCCAAATTTACATAAAAATTTTCAAGTTGATATTATAGATTTTTGTAGTGTTTTGTAGTTGTTGTTTTTTTTAGGCCTATTTCAGTTGTATATACATTTTTACCTGAGAAAGATGTAGTGCTTCACCACGTAAGCATAGATTTTTGGTATGTCTTCAATTGTAGCTGTGAATATGAATGGGACACCACACTCATTAATCCAGTCCCCCAAGTCTTTCTGGAGTGCTGTCAGGTCCCCTGCAGTCTTGCACTCTAGGATCTAAATAGCAAAATCTGAGTGAGAACAATTTAGCTGGAGTTTCAAATTAAGCAATAATATGATCTGAGATTTAATAGTAATCTTTATTTATAGAGCAATGTTCTTAACTTGTGTTAAAAAGTGTTTATCAAGAATTGAACAAATTGATATATTGTCTACCAGTTAAAAAATGGTTTGTTTAAAATCCCCAAAATGAATAACATAATAAATATTAAGTACCCTTTTGACTTTGCTTTGCACCTCTGGGTCAGGCAGCAACTGCCAGTCAAACTGCTCAAGCTGTGGCTCCTGGCCACACATCAGCTGGAAGAGGCTGGGATCCAGGGCTTTGATGCATGGACCTCCATGTGCAATCGACCAAGCGATAAGATTCCCAGCTTTGAAGTACTTATTTTGGTCTAATGCTGCTTGGTCGTAACTAAGAAAGACCTGGCCAGCCTTTCCTTCGAAAATGCCAAGAGAGGTCTGAACCTCTATCATCAAGAGTCTAGAGTAGAGCAACAGCAAAGACAAATCAAACGATCTAACAATGCAATTACTTGAAAACATGAACACATTTTGAGTAAAATATTTCAAAATATTGAGGGTACACAGACCTGAAAAACTCTCGCTGTGGTCCCCCCATATCATCTGCATCTTCTCCTACAAACTCAATCTGTGGTGAATCGGTCCAACAGAAAGTGACTCTGGAGATTGCTTTAATGGCACTCTCCAGAAGCTTTTTCCTCCTGATACAACAAGTGGATATGACGCCCCCAGAAAGGTGATCCTCTCGAAAAGCGCTCAGAATTATGGCAAGCTCCACTTCCTCCTGAAGAATAATAAATGTATAAAGTATACAATAAAAATGACTGGCAAAAGAGGTTGGTCACTAAATAGGACTGATGATCTTAGAATATCTTTAAAAACAGCAATATACAATTATTTTTATTGTGAGTACGTGAAATGGCTAGTTATTGAAAATTATTGAAAATTACACTCATCGGTTTTTGTTAGGAAAAAAATAAAACTTACAGACGTAGGCATGTCACTTTCAAAAGGAACTGCAATGTTATCGTCCTCTTCCCCTTCCTCTGAATCATCAATGACAAAGTCATTGATAGAAGTACTACAACGGCAGACAGATTTCTTTGTAAGTGTCAATATAACTTTAAGGCATTTCAAAAAATAATTTCAAACTCTTCTGAACCCAAACATTTTTGGTACAGTTTTGGGGATAATCTGGTGTATTCAGTTATTATTATTAGTAAAATCTATGTAAAGTTGGGTATTATGAGTGTAAATTAATGTAAAGCCAGGTGTCACACATGGTTCCTGTTTTTATTAAAATAAAAAATACCTATTAGGTGGTTCCACATGTGCCCTTCTGTAAAAGACCTGTAAAGTAAAAATATTGTGTGGAATGTTCCAGTTAAAGTCAATATATTTGAAAAATTTAATAGAAGACATTAAATGGAAAACAACAAGAAAAAATAACTTTTGTCATGTAAAAGTTTACCTCTGGGGTACCAGCATTCAGCCACTGTGCAGGATCCAAACTTGCCTCCTATTGATAGAAAAGAGTTACAATGTATATCTAACTGCATTTTACTGAGGTTAGCTTTAAAAAATTATAACGATTATCTTTTAATACAGCTAGAAATCATTAAGATTAGCCTACTGTTTACTTTAGTCTGAATAATCAGAATTAGATACAAAATTTACTCTTTTTTTGCAGCAACTTACAAGTGATGGGTTTGAGTCTGTCCTTGGTGAGCTTCCATCAATGTCAAGAGTTGAAGAGAGTGACATGGCATTAAGGGGAGGGGACTCTGCACCTATATGAGAATTACTGTTAGATGTGAATGCTGGCATGTTCATAGGAACCGTAGGAGCAGGGGTGTAACCTGGGGGCAGAACCTGAGGCTTGAGGTCTGAGGGCCAGTGATGAAGGGGATTGGGATGGAAATACATCAATGGCTGCAGGGGCAGTGGTTGAGGCTGCAGGTCTGATGGCTGTCGATGCAGCAGTTGGTGTGGTCATCAGTTGTGTGGATGCTGAAGAAGCTAGAGACTGTGAAGCTGTCTCAGGTCCAGTTGGTGGAGATGTTTCTGGTGGGCTATGAGCCCCTTCAGGTTCGGGGATCTAAATGGAAAAGAAATGTTTGATAATTCTCATCAGTATGCTAAAATTCAAAAGGAGTGCTGCCCTAATAGAACAAATAAAACAAAAAAACTCACCTGTAACGGCAGTGTAATAGTGGTCTGGGGAATAATATAAACCCTGCTTCTTCCAACTGTTTTCTTCAGGTCTTTCAATGTATTAGCCTGAATTTTAGTCAGAACCCTGGTCTTATCAGCTCTTGCAAGATGATATCCAATGACATTCAGGCTAACCATGGGAAAGCTCTGGCAGATGTAATTATCAAACTCTGAAAGAGTCCAAGAAAGTTCTACGTGACCTCTATTTGAGACCCCACTTGGTAAATCATTTCTTGGGATTCCTGAAAAACAATACAAATTTATGTCAGCGAGTATGATATGTTGACTCATTTTTTCTTTCTAACCACCGACTAGGAGTTAAGGCCTTACAGTGTCTTTATAAGCCTTTAACAACATATATTGTTATATTTGTTATGTTGTGAGCATATGATGTGGCTATTTGTGCCTTATGCACAATATGATTTTTAATAAAAAAATTTATGGTGCAAGCTTAAAATCTTACAATCATTTTATATAGCACAGTAAGGGCAAGTCCACCTTCCAAAACATGTCAGACAAATGGTACTGGAATGAGATTATGTAACTGTGGTGTTTGTGGTGTCCATAAAAACTCAAGTGAATGCTCACTTTCAAAACTAATACATGTGTATCTTACCTAAGCCTTTTTGGCTTAGTTTACAGCATTCTGAATGAGATGGAAGGACAACTTCATCAGCATTTGGTAGCAGGAACAGCTTTACTCTCCAAACTCCAGGTGTCCTGTTTGCAGGGGCTTGTGTTCAAATCAAAAATATAGTGTGTTACATATTATTGCAAGGATCACCTTATTATGTACATTATATACTCATTATATTCATTCTCATGTTATGTCCTCAGTCATTGACATAACATTTTAATATTTAATGTTCATAACATAGCTTAAATTCTCCCTTAGTCGCTGCTGTTAACTCTCGTACAGCACATATATTTGTGCAATATCTCATTTAAAATTACTGAGATCTTTACAGAGAAGCCCTCTAAATCAAAGTGGCAGCCCCCCCTTAAAGTGATGATCGACTTATACAATCCATGCATTGAAAAGTTTTGGAGGCTTCTCTTAACATCATTACACTCAATACTGCACGAAAATCATGTCCAGATTTATTTTTTCAATATTGTCAGAAAACATCCGTACTTAAGCTTATCATTACATATTAAGAGGAAAATTGACCCTAGGAATGTATTGTGGCTTCAAATAGCTCTATGAATTGCGCATCATATGCGCCTGCTTTTTGCTCCCTTAAGGTCCAATTCACAAAGCATACTGCATAAAGACTTTTGCTTCACGCAGTTTTCTCTTGTTTCATGTCTGATTGTGGAGTTAAGCCATCCGAACCTGCTCTCACTTCCTCGCTGTCTCGGATGCATTATCATACTGATGGTTCTCAATTCTGTCTACATACAGAGGAAAAACAGCGTGCACAGAGTACACCTTCCAGTTCACTAGAAAGTTGAGCGATACTTTAATATGTATGGGCTACACCCCAGATTATAAAGATAACGGTAATGTCAAAGTAACATTAACATAGGCTACATTATTGCAAATAAATAGTTATAGGTTATCCCGAGGCGGAACTGTTTTCATGATCACAGAAAAATGTCAATGGGTCATCAGAGACACTGTAGTAACGGTGCAGTTACCATTGAAAACGGCAAAGCACAGAGAGGCTATTTGTTCTGCAGCGAAGTTTAGGCAGAATTTAACCCTTAGCTTTTGATTTATAAATTAGACTGTGTCACAGTTTGTCAGATGCAAAAGCCGCGCATTCCTACTGAGAATTAGGTCCGGATTTTTCCAATAGTTTCTGTTAGCTACACATAGGACAGCCATAGCTAGCTAAGCCTTCTGCTTAGACTTGACTATGAAGTGGGAAAAAAAAGGATTCGTTTAAAAGCCCCTTGCAATTCAGTACACTGAAAATGGACATACTGAAATAAACTAATCAAACCGAACTTTACCATTTGGTGCTAATGCTAATTTAAGAGGGCTTACACATGCTACTTACCTGTCATCGGACCTGCTCTTCTTTGTCTCCGGAAAGCATTTCTGGTGGCACTCAAAATGTTGCTTTCACTCCTTTGCATTGCCAGTTCTTGTCTTGCAACATCCAGAGCATTCCACACGCGATTAATAATATTATTAAAACCACTTTCTGTGGCAGCTTCTTCTGAAGTCTGGCTCATGACACCGATAGCTTTGATTAGCAGTTGATGTCTGCCGCCACCTTCTGGTTATATTTGACCGTGAAAAAAAGCATAAAAAGCACAAAGAACCCCACTGCAGCTGTAGTCTACTTCTGAACGTGCAATTATGTGTCTGTCTTAGATGTTGTTGAAAAAGATTAAAATGCTTCAGTTGTAGGCTGTGTCTGGGTTTAAGAAAATGTTAGTTCGATTACAGTGAAAACTTAATATTTTATTTCACACATTCTGTTATAATTATATAGTTGTTTTTATTATTATGATTACAATAGTTTTCCTTACAATTCTGCTATGATAACAATTATAATTACATTTTGGAAACAATATTATTTAAAAAGGATTATGGTTGAATATATGTATTCCAACCATTAGAATAGGCCTACAATGGAAAATAAATGTATTTTAAATAAAATATTAATATTTTTTATTATAATAATATGTTGCTTAAAAGAAGACATTGTCTGACTTTTATTTTGCTTTTTTAAATCACGTTATGACCTGGTTGGTTTATTTCCAGTTCACATAGAAACATGCTGTCATTTGAAAGAACACAAAATAAATTGATCCTATAGTTAAAAAGAAAAAAGAAAAAAAACATTTAAAAAGTATAAATATTTGCATATATTTCAGTGACATGTCATTGCTTTAATTTCCCACAAATACTGCAATCACTAATAATCATTAGTGATTTTTATAACAAATAAAACAAAGTTTAAAAAACAAAGATTGGACTAGAGATCAATACTTCTCTGTAACATAAATAAAAATGTAATATCAGATGTGGTTTTGAGCATGGGTCATAAAATTCTACCAAAGGACATTCAATGTGTTACCATTTTGTGAAAATATAACGTAAAACAAATAAACAAAGCTTAAAAAATTAGCCACAGTTTATCTCAAGGTACTATTCAGAGCTGGTCCTTTAAGGCTGGCAAAATCATTGGTTTGACATTGACCAATCAAAATCCTTGTCCCGACTGCTTCATCAGCATGCATACTACTAGTGCTACTAGTGCTACTAGTACTACTAGTAAGAGCCTAAATGTCCACTAGTAGTACTAGTGCAACTAGTGCAACTAGTGCTACTAGTACTACTAGTGCTACTAGTGCTACTAGTGCTACTAGTAAGAGCCTAAATGTCCACTAGTAGTACTAGTGCAACTAGTGCAACTAGTGCTACTAGTACTACTAGTGCTACGAGTGCTACTAGTAAGAGCCTTAATGTCCACTAGTAGTACTAGTGCTACTAGTACAACTAGTGCTACTAGTGCTACTAGTACTACTAGTGCTACTAGTGCTACTAGTAAGAGCCTAAATGTCCACTAGTAGTACTAGTGCTACTAGTACTACTAGTGCTACTAGTAAGAGCCTAAATGTCCACTAGTAGTACTAGTACTGTACACATTAGCAGCATATATAAGTATAGCACCATCTGGTGGGCATTTGCAAGTAGTATCTTAATTTTATGCTTTAATCATAAAAACATGACTCTTCATATGATAAAATAAATCTTAATGTATGTTGCTTGTGCACTTATATCTGCTCACTGCCATATGTATCTTTTCTGCTGGGCTTACTCGAAGCTAAACCAAGAAAATTTAGCAAGTCCATAACATACCGATCCTGCAACTGACACCTAATGGCCGAAATGCATATCTCTCTGCAGCTACTTATTGTATAAGGGTTATTTCTCCAGATGTAAGAGGCTGACTTTATATTTATAAAAAAAAACATTAAAACATCTTATTCACATTAGTTTAATAATTCAGTATACACTTGTCCTAAATCCTAATATTTTATTCAATATTTTGCATGATCATCTAGCAGATAAACTAAATATAAACACATTTCTTTCATGATTTAAAAAAATATTTAATTTTTCACTTTGCAAGTTTCAAACTAGTATATCTTTCATATTTTATATTGCCATATTTTCAATGGCAAGAAAAAAGCTAAAATCCTTGAACATTAATGTTGTGCAAGATTTTATTTTATTCAATCATACTACTATATATAAATATTAAGTGATGGGTTATTGTTTATTTTTTGACAAATACTGCAATAATGAATAATCATTAGTGATTTTTAGAACAAATAATAATAAGTTTAAAAAACAAAAAAGTTGAAAAGATGAATAACAATGTAACATCAGATTTGGATTTAATCTGTGCATGGGTCATAAAATTCTATCAAAGGGCATTCAGTGAGTTACCATTTAGTGATAATATAACATGACACAAATGAACAAACCTTCAGAAATTAGTGCTGGTTTAACCGAAGGTACTATTCAGATCTGGCCCTTTAAGGCTGGCAAAATCGCAGGTTTGACATTGACCAATCAAAATCCTTGTCCCGCCTGCTTCATTATCATGCGGTCAACTAGTGCTACTAGTACTACTAGTGGACTGCC